CTAGAAGGAGTTCAAAATTAGGAAGAGTTAAGTCAGCATCAGGTGAATCAGGAGACTGTTTATAGGGGAAAATATGTTCATGAAAGACAACATCCCTAGACTCAATTTGTTTATGTGTGTTTAAGTCAATTAGTTTGAAACCTTTGGTACCAAAAGGATAACCTAGGAAAACACAGGGAGTAGCTCTAGGTTCAAATTTAGGGCGATTGTGACTAAGAGTGCTAGCATATGCTAAGCAGCCAAAGACCCTGAGATAAGCCAGATCAGGAGCTTTACCCTGTAAGATTTCTAAAGGAGACTTATTCTGTGTTAAAGGTGAAGGAATACGATTTATGAGATGAGTAGCATGAAGGACAGCATGACCCCAGAAATAAGTAGGCAGAGAGGCTTGGAACAAAAGAGCCCTAGCAACAGCTACAATATGTTGCAATTTTCTTTCTACCCTACCATTCTGTTGGGAAGTTTGGACACAAGAAGTTTGGTGTACAATACACTTTGTGTTATAGAAACTTGGAATATTAAATTCCTGAGCATTATCTGTTCTTATCACCTTAACATTCACATTAAATTGATTAGAAACATAAGAACATAAATGAATAAGCAAATCCCTAGCCTCAGATTTATGTTTTAAAAGATAAACCCAAGTTACTCTAGTATGATCATCCACAATAGCAAAGAAATAACGATGACCATCTATAGTTGGTTCCTTGTAAGGACCCCAAACATCACAATGAATCAAATCAAACGGAGTCTTACTGATAGATTCACTAGAAGCAAAGGGCAAGCGTTTCTGTTTAGCCAGAGGACAAACAGAACAGTGTATATGATCATCAACAACAATAGGTACAGAATTAGCCTGTAAACCTTTTATTCTAGGAGTAGAAGCATGTCCTAATCGATAATGCCACAAATCAAACATAGTATGTGATGTATCATAAGATGCAGATAGTAGTTGAGGGATAGTAGAACGAGGCAGAGAGTTGCCAGGTTGGAGGTAGTAAAGGCCAGAGATCTGTTCAGCTATACCAATCGTCTGCATAGCTGACTGCTCCTGGATAAAACAAGCATCATGAATAAAAGTCATTGAACATTTATGTTGCTTAGTCAACTTGCTCACAGAAAGCAAGTTAAACGTGAAAGATGGAATCAACAATACATTAGAAATGATGAGATTATCATTTAAATGTACTGTCCCAATATGAGTTACTTTTGCCTTAGAACCATTTGGTAAAGTTACGAAGGAATTATGCACAACATTATAGGTTTTGAGCATAGACAACGAGCAAGCCACATGGTCAGTAGCCCCAGTGTCTACCACCAATGTTTGTTCAAGAGACCTAGTGCAAGACACAGATAGAGTAAACTTACCTGCAACCTCATCAAAGGCAGCTTGAGAGGCAGAGGAAGTTTTCGGTGTCGCAGCTGCATCCTCATAGAGAACAGAAGTGGAATGCTCAGGCAAACAGTTGGTGACTGCCATCAAGTTGATGGAACCCAGATTGGTGGTCTGCTGCTGAGGTTGAATGAGTGAGATAAGTGCTTGATACTGAGCCCGAGAAAGAGTGAAGCCTTCAGCAGCATCTTCAGGAACTTCATCAGTGGAATCTCCAGCACACACCGCATTGATCGCCTTGCCTCGAGCCTTGTATCCAGGTGGATACCCATTCTTCTTGAAACACTCTCGATCGTGTGACCAGCCAGACCACAAAAAGTGCAGATAGGCCTCTTGACTCCATCTCTAGCACCTCGGCGCCCTTGACCAGATGAAGAAGCTCCCTGAGTAAAACCTCCTTGAGTAGAGGACAACGGAGCATAATTGCCAGCAAACGCCATGGGAGGCTGAGCAGGAGGAACCAAAGATGCTCCATGACGAGACTCACGCTCCTGTTGAACAACTTGAGCAAACACACGATTGATCGGCGAAAGTGGATCTTTCTGAAGAATCTGCGAATGGAGTGGACCAAACGAGTCGCGAAGGCCTCAAAGAAACCTAATTATTTGATCAGCTTCAACATAGCCACGAAGCCTGGCAACGGTCGAAGTGCAAAGAACTCGTCCCAGAGAACCTTGAAACGAGTATAATACTCCGTGACAGTCAGATTCCCTTGCCTGAAACCATAGATTTCCTCATGCAGATATGAAATCCGGACAAGATTCGCTTGACCAAAACGCTCCACATCTGCAGCGAGGATTACAAGAACAGCCAGGCAACGGTCGAAGTGCAAAGAACTCGTCCCAGAGAACCTTGAAACGAGTATAATACTCCGTGACAGTCAGATTCCCTTGCCTGAAACCATAGATTTCCTCATGCAGATCTGAAATCCGGACCAGATTCGCTTGACCAAAACGCTCTTGAAGATCCAGCCACACTTCCCTCGCGGAATCCAGCCAGAGGATTGACTGAGCAATCGTCGGCTCTAGAGATTGATAAATCCAGCCTAGGACCATCAGATTGGCACGCTCCCAAGCTGGAAGCAACGGATCATCATCGCCAGGACGTGGAGCTTCACCATTGACGAACGCGACTTTGTTCTTCGCGAGTAACGCCATCCTCATCGATCGCGCCCAGGACTGGTAATTGCCACCATGGAGAAGCGTCGACACAAGCACCAACGCCGGATTCTCGTTCTGATTGAGATAGTATGGATGATTTGGATCAAGATTTGCGGGAATAGGAATCGCCATCGCAACACAGAAAGAAAGAGACGAAAGAAATCAAGAAGGAATGAAACCCTAGTTTTGCTCTGATACCATACCAGATTTAGTGAGAAAGTGATTATTGCATAAAACGGTGAATCGTTCTTGTTACACTGTACAGCCTTTATAATGTTCTCCAAATTACTACTTAGTACCTATACAAACTACTAGTTACAATAACTACCCTGAAAACAACAAAAATTACATTTTGTTCTATATTCTATCATCAAAGTCAAAATACACAGTGAAATAGAGAACTTCAATCCAGAGAATGCTTCTTTTGCAATGTGACATAGGAGTACTAACGGGTCGTTTTGGATGGTGGATTGTCAAAATGAGTAGATGGATTGCCAAGTCTTTTACTGATACCGACTCTTTTAGACCGGAGAATGAGCCCTAGCCCTGTCCAGATTGATGAATTCATTCTTGTACTTCCATTTTGATAAACGACTGTATTAATTAATCAATGAGAAAGGGGAACAAATCTGAAGCTTATGCATTGGACTATCTTAGACTGGCCATTTTCTCGAGTTAATAGTTGGGTTTTGGTGATGAGTTTTTACTTATCTATTGCATTCGCTGTTAAGAAGCTTTTGAACAGTTAGTAGGACGGCAGAAGTTAGATCAAGTGCATTCTTCCTTTTCTTTCTCTTTTAATACACCGTTCATCCAAATATCAAGGTCTTAATCATATCAGCTGTTGTTTTAATTTGTGAATGCAGTTTTACCTGTTTTCCTTGTTTTAGCACAAGTTCTACCAATCATTACACTCTATTTTATTATCAAACATACTTTTCTAAGTGTTCAAGAAGACGCGATTAATCTCTCGCCTAGGCGCGATTAATAGCTGGGCAGGAGGAAATCTCTTCGTCTAGCCCTGGGTGATTGATCTAGGCGTGCTAAACGATTAAGTTCCATGGACAACGCCTAATTGGCGCCTAGGCACTCAGAGGCGCGTTTTCACTCTAGTGGGCGATGCCCAGAAGAACTAATAAAGGGGGAAAGTGTAGCATTTTTGTGAAAATCTCAAACCCTATTCTATTTTCCATTTCCATTTGACTAGTCGCTCCCCTTCATCCCCTAGCAGCAAGATCCCTCCTCATGGTTGGGGGACCGGTTACTATGACAACACCTCTTGTGTTGTTATTGTAACAACACTAGTCTCCAACCAATAGGAAGCTAGGATTGTGATGACTTTTTATTAGATGGGTTGACCTAGTGTAAAATCAAAGCAGGGGTATAATTGTCATTATGAAAAATCTGTTTAAATAATAAAAAATAAAAAATATTTTTTATTTTCTGTCCAAAAATTTGGTCGCCAGAATTCTGCCACCGGTCGCCGGTCACCGGAATATGCTATTTGTCGCCGGAATATGCTATTTGTCGTCGGAATATGCTTACCGGTGTCGGAATATGCTTACCGGCGTCGGAATATGCTTACCGGCGTTGGAATCTAGTCATCGGGGCCGGAATATGCCTATCGGCGTCGGAAGCTGCTCACTGACGGTCACCGGAGTTCAGTCAACGAACTTCGTTGACCGGTCAACGGTCAACGAAGAACCGGATGTATGGTCTTCATTGTGAGATTTATGGTTTGGTTTCTCATATTTTTGTAAGCCTTTTGTGGTTTGCTTTATCGTGTTTGTGGTTTGCATTAAGAAGTTTCTGGTTTGCTTTATCGTGTTTGTGGTTTGCATTGAGAAGTTTCTGGTTTGCTTTCAAAAACTTTGTGGTTTGCATTGTGAGGTTTCTGGTTTGTTTAAATATATTTGTGGTTTGCATTAGGACGTTTATGGTTTGCTTTTTTGTGGTTTGATTTACTGTGTTTGTGGTTTGCATTATGAGGTTTCTGGTGTGCTTTCGCAAATGTTGTGGTTTGCATTGTGGGGTTTGTGGTTTGTTTTAGGGGATTTGTGGTCTGAATTAGAAGGTTTATAGTTTGCATTAAGAAGTTTCTGGTGTGCTTTCGAAACTTTTGTGGTTTGCATTAGGAGGTTTCTGGTTTGTTTTAATATATTTGTGGTCTGCATTAGGACGTTTATGGTGTGCTTTTTTGTGGTTTGCTTTAACATGTTTGTGGTTTGCATTATGAGGTGTCTGGTGTGCTTTCGCGAAAATTTTGGTTTGCTTTGTGAGGTTTGTGGTTTGTTTTAGGGGATTTGTAGTATGCATTAGGAGGTCTTTGGTTTGCATTAAGAAGTTTCTGGTTTGTTTTATCACATTTTGTGGTTTGCATTAGGAGGTTTTTGGTGTGTTTAAGAAATAGTTGTTGTTTGCTAGTATGTTTTAGGCAATTTATAGTGTATGTTTTATAAGATTTATAGTGTGCATTCTAATACTTTTGATGTGCTTTGTCCTCATCCATCCATCACTCCAATCTAAAGACCCTCTCACATTATTACATGCGGTGTAATTAGGGCTGGGAAAACGGTTGCGGTTTCGCGGTTAAACCGATAACCGCACCGAAACCGCGCGGTTATTGGTTAACCGCAAACCGCATATTTGGCCTATTTTGCGGTCGCGGTTGGCGATATGGGTTGTTTTGCGGTTTGCGGTTTAACCGCAACCGAAACCGCAAATACATATAACCGCAAGGCTAACCGCGACCCAAGACCCAGCCCATAGTTTACCCCAGCCCATCCCAAAATTGACCCCAGCTAAACCGCAAACCGCAAATACATATAACCGCAAGGCTAACCGCGACCCAAGACCCAGCCCATAGTTTACCCCAGCCCATCCCAAAATTGACCCCAGCCCAGCCCATAAACCCGACCCGGCCCCTCCCCCACTTCTCCTCGTCCTGGAGAAACAAAAAATTGAAAGACCAAACGGCAAACAGTTAAACACAAAAGTCCAAAACCCTAATCCCCTTCAGTCCTTCACCCCTTCGAAGACCCTTGACTAGTTGACTGTTGACTCCCCTCCCGCTGCGCCGCTGCCATTCCGACCGCCACCGTCCTGCCGTCCCTGCCCCTGGAAGTCCCCGACGATGACGTCACCCGTCCCCACTCCCCGGCGCGGCGTCCCTCTGTTCTGTTCAGGCTTAGTGGTCGAACAAGAAGCTTCGCTTTGCGCTGTCCCCGGCGTCCCGCTGCCATCCGACCCGACGTCACCTCGTGGCCGGTGGCCCTCTTCCAGCCAGGTCGAGGTCTGCTCCCCTGCCCCGCTGCCGCAGTGCCGCCCATCATCAATGTTGCGGTTTTGACAACCATAAACCGCGGTTCACCGCTAACCGCGTTTTGCGGTTTTTGGTTAACCGCTAACCGTGAGAGACGCGGTCGCGGTTGGCTAATATGGGTGTTTTGCGGTTACGGTTAACCGCAAATTGCGGTGCAGTTAACCGCAACCGCACCGTTTCCCACCCCTAGGTGTAATTACCAACCCCAGACTCTTAAATCTGGATGTGGTACTTCCACTTCTCCACACCATTTCCCTCTTCTCAATGGCTAAATTTGAAATGTCGGGGCTGAAGTAGGCCAAAGCTGATGAACATCATTAGCAGTGTGCTGTCTGGTCCAGTGTGTGTACATAAAAAAGTTCCGATTTTCAGAACGAATGAATTGGGAAAGTTGTATCTTCTCTCTTGCCTTCTGTTTACTTCTTACACTACTGTTCTTCTGCTCTGTTCTTTATCATCATTGCTAAGGAACAGAGAGCGATGAGCATCTTCAATCTCCGTTTTACATTTATTGCTCTCCTCCACTGTCCTACAACTGTTGTACTCAGCCATTGTCAGGTCGTGTTTCATGATCGCCACAACTTGTGCAGGAAATACAGAGTTATCTACAGACGGCTTTCACCGAATCCCAACTGAAGCGTCTGGAATAAATCGTGTTTCAATCATTTCATATCAATAATACGGACTACCGATTTGGATTACGATATGCAGTTTTCAGTCGAACCATCCCATTTCTTCCACTCGGATGAACTATACTACTAGACTACAAATTCTAATCACCACAATCCCATTTCAATCATTTGCCCAGGTTTATCAAAGGAAATAAACCAGCTAACACTGCTTTTGAGAAGGGACAACTGAAGAACGAGATGATCATTGGTTTCTGCTACCATATCACACATCAAACAATTATCAGGGAGCTTGCAAATCCCTAGCTTTTGTGTTGCACTAAAGTTTTGATTCTATTCCAGAGCACCAACAAAGTCAGGAAAACGATGCCTGAGAACAAGAAATATACTCCACAAGACTTTGTACCATGGAATTCTAGGTGGGTGAATCCTGACAGATTGCCAAAAATGCAAACGTTATTGATAAATAGTACAAGCTATGATTTACAAATCAGTACTACATACATTACAAATGACAGCTCCTTGCACTTCATCTTACCCTTGCGCCAAATTCACTTGTTGCTCATCTTCTTCTTCTAGTATGTACCCAAATTTTTTGGCCCACACCTGACAATGATCTCTTTTGTTAGAACAAACACAAAGTTCTATAATCCTTAACGACCAGGAAGAAGGAGAGCCCCGCCTGCGAGTGGCGACCCGGAAGAAGCAGAGCGTCTCCTGCGAGTGGCGACCCGGAAGAAGCAGAGCGTCGGCGATCGGGAAGAAGGAAACCAGTGCAGGCCCTGGTCCGAGTCGGACTACGATTTTGATGTCATCATCGGCGTTTTCGACACCAGCGTCTGGCCCGACCGTCGAGCTTCTCCGACACGAATCTTGGCCCCGTTCGCTCCCGGTGGAAGGGGATCTGCCAGGTCGAGGTCAGATCTATCGCTAGAAACTGTAATAAGAAAATCGGAGGGCGATTTTTTGAGAAAGGCAGCGCGACGGAGGCCAATGGGCTCAATCGGAGAGGGTCTCGCCGGTGGCAGAGGAGAGATACGAGAGAGAATCCGTCGGCGATAAGGGAGAAGGAGATCGAGAGATGCAGTCGGCGATAAGGAAGGAGAATGAGATCGAGAGACGCAGAGAAGGTAGTTGGGTATTGAAATTTTATAATTAATTTTAATTTATTATTTTTTGTTGGTTTTCCTTTTTTACCCCTGATGTTACTATAACAACACTTATAATGTTGTTATTTTATCCGCACCCAATGGTTGGCGACTTGGGATGTTTTGGATTGTGGAAAAAAGTTGTATGTGTATATGAATGGATGAATAACGATATGGCGACTTAGGTTTTTTTTTTTTTTTTGGAATATGACTTATCTATCATATTTTGTTCAACGTTTAATCTCGCCTAGGCAACGACTAATCGGCCTGGGCGCTGGGCGGTGCCTCCTCGCCTAGATAGCGCCTAGCGTCTTCTTGAACATTGCTTTTCTTACGCTTTGTCAATCAACACTTTTGTCCCCTGCTTTCGATGAATGCTCCTTTCCATTCTATTTTCATGTAATATTAACCATGGATGTGTTTACCTGCCGTCCCAGTGGCCAGTTGGTGGTGTGTGGCATGCACAGCGTTTCAGGTCTCCATTTCCATGGTAGGTAGAGGGAGAGAAAGAGTAACGGAAGATAACATGGCGAACAACAAAAGAAGACGTAGAATTTTGTTTTTGCAAGGTCAGTTCATCACAATGTATTTTCTCCCTTCTCTCTAGAAGCTTGAAATGATCTATTGAAGCTACGAAGAGATCCCAATGGTCTCTCTTGACCCTTGTTAGTTTCTAGGTCTTATATAGTACTTAGAGTTTGCATTGATTTGGTACCAGCTACATATGTCTGAAATATTGAACCACCGACAACATATATGTCATGCATTTAGTTTCCTTCTGTTGATTCCTCGTGTGAATTCCTTTTGATTTGTCAGTGGCCTACGAGCTGCAACTGCTGTCACCTTATTCTCCTAATTTCAGGCCCCCCCTTTGAGTTGGGTTGCTTCCTTTGTGAACCATAACAACCTAACTAATCCACTACCATGATCCTGTGACTTCACTTCTTGGCTTCTTCAAGCTGTACTTTTTAGCGCTATGGTGTCGATGAGTATGCATCGCGACACTTGTTGGCACCGTTCAACAAAAAACATATATAATCTCAATTCCCCTTAGATGCACGTGGTGAGCAAATTAAAATACCACCACGTACTTTTAACGGTTTGAGATTGCACGAGCGATTGAATCCCTGATTGCGCTGACACCTACCCTATCAGCATCATATCAGATTCCATTCACCCCCTTTTTTGTTTATTCTCTTAACACAATGGCACAGTGAAATCTGAAGCTTCAGGAATTCTGACTTTTTTAGGGATTTGCATGAATGAGAAAGGAACAGGTGAAGAGAAGAAAAAAGAGTTGGTATTCCACCTATATGGTAGACTGGAATATAGAAACCACACGTGTGGGGTATATAATGCCTTTATGGCTCTGTTATAGGGTTTGGAGTTTGATGATTAAAGGTTGGTGAAGGGTGTTAGATGAATGGGGTTTTCCTATTCTATTAGCACTTAAAACAGCCTGTCCCTTTGACTGTCCTTGGCTGGCTGCCAAGCTTCTAGTCTATATCCGATTACAATTCTGCCAACAAACATTAATAGTTAGATGGATAATACAAATCGTCATATCCATATTTGCTCTAATCATCACTACATTATCTCCTTCTTTTCTCTGCTCCTGTCTGGTACAATTGCCTTTGAAGGGAGGAATATACAGTATACTGTATATTGGTTCACCCACCTCCACAGTCTGCATTGTTCTTCTTGGGTCCCTTTTCTATTTTTTAAGAGCCCTGCTGCTGCATTATGATTGTCACTCTGTCCACTGAATCTGGAACAAATCATGTATTTATGTCTGGTCTGCCTGATTCCTGACCCTTTCCTCTCAACTGAAAGGGAAGAATACACGTTTTGGTGTTCATATCCGTTTTTCTATTGTGCACATGAAATTTAACTCTGACAGTATGTTTCAAGTGGGGTTAGATTACAAATTAGATTCAGCTCAAGTTTTTTTTAAGGTAATTTACGTGGTCCCTGTGCCTTGTGCGTGCCACTATGTTCCCTGCTGATATGATATGGGGGAATCTTCAACTTGTTCAAGCAATGATTAGAGGTGAATTAATGTAATACTGATGGGTGTAATTTGGTTGGCGCAGTTAAATTTGTAACCTCACCAGGAGAAATATGAGGTGGTAGAACTTAGAAGCAGTGGCATTCATTCTGAAACACGTGCTTGAGCTCTTGAGATGTCATTCCTACGGGCTATACAGGTGAAGTAAAACCTCTCTTCTGCTTGACAATTGAGTAATTAACTGCAAAGGTTAAGAAACAATCGAGACCATTAGACTGAGAGAAAATGATAGTCGTTGTCCTGTCAATAAATATTTGAGTAACACGAATTTGGAGATTTCTTTTCTCATGCAACAGGTTGGCGTACAACGTTGTCCGTAAATGTTCATCAAGTCCCAGCCTGCATTTCCTGATCTCCGGGTAATCCTCCTCATGATGAATTTTATCTTGGTGAACGTTGGATCTGATGTATTGCCAGAGTTCATCAATGGAGGCATGGATCCACGAAAGATGGACATCGGTTAGGACGATTAACAAGGATAAATGTCTAAGATTCAATCCTATTCATATTAAAAGTTGTTGATATGATAATTTTTAGTGAACAATTAAAGTTGAGGGATTTCTTGTAAATGATCATTTGCATGTTCGCTATTTCATTTGGAAGAATATTTAAATAGATAGTAATAATATTTAATCATCGCCCATTTATGTTAATGGATTTCTTACTATAAGATCAAAACCTAGTTTACCAATGAAACACAATTCAAAGATCTCCTTCTTAATACTCATCACAGGGTGGGATACGGTGACATTTCTTAAGGGTTGTGAAACTCACAACCGAGTACAATTTGAATAGTGCAAAAAAGAATCTTATTAATTTCTTTCATTTTTAAATTTATTACATTTTGGGAAATTAAAACCCATATTAAATACATTATTTTATATTAAAATTTAAAACCTACCACAAATACATTTTTGTCTCTTCCTATCTCTCTCTTCCTTTTTCAGAAGCCATTGACTCTGACCGACTAACTTTCTCTGACTGTGAGACCTTCTCCGGTGAAATCCTTCGATCATACTCACTCAAACCACCTGCAAAAAAGTACAACACCGACAATGCGCTAATGGTAATGATTTTTGTCTAGTGGTGCGCAAAAACTACTACTGGTAGCATACTAGTGAGTACTGGACTATCGGTATGCTACCACTAGTCACTGGTACATACCAGTGGGCAGTGCTAGCGTACCAGTAGCACTACCAGTGATAGTGTACCAGTAGTCACTACTAGTGGTGGTAAGCTATCAGTGCTCACTGGTAGCGTACCCATAGAGACTACCACTAGAGACTATAACAAAAAAACCATATGTGAAATATGAAAAATCCAAGATTTGGAAAGAAAAAAAAACAGGGATGAGGAAAGGGGGAGGCAAGGAAGAGTTAGTGACCTCGCGAAAGCGCGTAAAGACGACGACGGGTGCGGTAGGGGGCAGTGTGGCACGACGGGGGACGCAAGGTCGGCGTGGGCAGCATGGTGCGGCAGGAAAAGCGGGCGCGGCGGGCATGACAGAGGAAGAGGGAGGTGAAGTGGCGGCGACAACTTCCGCGGAAGAGAGGGAGGAAGGGGAGAAGGAGGTGAACGGCTCTCGAGTTGATATGGGCTAGATTAGAATTTTATTATTTTATATGTAAGGGAGAATGATTGACTGTGTGATAAGTTTTCTTTCTCTCAAAAATACCCTTACTTTTATCTCAACCATCAATTAAAAAATTACAGAAAAGAGACAGGATAGAGAATACATCTAATGGTTACAAAGTGGGTTGTGAAACCCACTTAGCTAGGTTGTGACGGTATCCCCTACTGAGTACTCATCACTAGGGTCGTTAATGAGCCAAACTATTTGTGAGCGGCTCGGTCTCGAACTTGATAAAAGCTCATTCAATTAAAAAAAAGCTCGGCTCGTTAATAAACGAGTCGAGCTTGAGCTCTACCTTGTTCGGCTCGTGAAACTCGTGAACTAGCTCGATTAGGTGGCTCGTTAATACAACTCATGAACTGTCTCGTTTTGAGCTTATGAGATGTTCCAACATTGTGACTAGAGTGCTAACTCGACTACAACTTATGAGAAAATCAATTTATATTTTATGAGTTGGTTTTTTTAATGATGCATTTTTTTTATTATAAAAAGGGAGGCAGACGCCAGGATTACAGAGGGGCTACAAGGCCACCAGGATCACCCAAACGCACACAGATGCGAAGGGAGGAACAACAAGCAAAGCTCAAACCAAAAATCAATTATCACTACTGGACCTTTGCAGGACTTGCCGAGGGAAGCTCACTCCCAAAAGGTCCTCCTGCAGAATTTTCTTTAAATCACCTGGAGGTTCATCTAACTCATACGTACCAAAGGGATAGACGAGACTGTGCTTCGAGAGCCAGTCCGCGACTTTATTCCCTTCCCTGTACGTATGAGCAAGCTGAACCACCCAGCCTTGAGCGAGGAGACGACGAATCAAACCAAGAATAGTGGCATGTGGGAATGGCTACGGTGCTAATTGTACAATAGTTAGCACCGTCCTAACCAAGGGAAAAACTACTACTAGTTTGAATTAGTAGTGATTTAGCTTAGATGTTGTATTGATTTTATAATAATCCGTAGTGATTTCGTTATTTTTAGTAGCGTTTTTTGCTAGTTATCACGGTGCTAACCCCTATAAGGGTTAGCACCTAATCCCTTCCCGTGGCATGTGGATGAGCTGCATCCGTCCTGTTCTTGATCAAATCCAAAGCAAGTTGAGAGTCCGATTCGAGGATGAGGAATCTGATGCCTTTCTTCCAAGCCAATTGAAGTCCCTGAAGAATCCCCCAGAGCTCGGCCATAATGGTTGTACCATTACCCATCTTGCTGCAAAAGCCGCCCAGCCACGTGCCTTGTGAATCACGAAGTGCTCCGCCAGCGGAGGCGATTCCTGGGCTGCCTTGAGCCGCCCCGTCAGTGTTCATTTTCCCCCATCCGGCGGCAGGAGCTTTCCAGGAAATTAGTGCTTCGTTTCTTGCATGTTGGTCATGAGCATTTGCATCTAATCGTCCCTCACTCCAAGCCTTGCTCCACTCTCTAGCCTTTGTCGTGACATAGTTGTGGAGGGATGAGGGAGACAACTTCTTTCCTTTGAAGACACTATCATTTCTGCATTTCCAAAGATACCAGGTTATGAGGCTGAAATAGCTCGCCCAATCACCCATCCAATCACTGTGGTCTTCATTAGAGATGTTCTCCTGAAGCCAATTTTCATAGCCAAGGCTAAAGAAATGAGAATGTTGCTGAGCAGGGATGATTTTCAACCACACCGCCTTAGCCAAAAAAATCTCTCAGGCAGTGGAGGTTTGATTCTGACACATCCGGACATTCCGGACACTTGTCGTCCTGGGTGAGATGATGGTATTTCCGGATGCTATTGGTCGTCAGTCTGCCTTTGCTGGCCATCCACATGAAAACCCTTACTCTCTCAGGAACGTGGAGTTTTCAGATTATTTGCCAAAAGGAAGGTGGGAGAGAGCTCTGATGTTGCGGTGAGATAGCCTTGAAGGCGGAACTTGTTGTGAACTGGCCATTGGAGGACAAGTTTCAGATGCCTTAGTCGTCTTCAGCCGCCATTGGATCAACCAAGACCGATCGGATGTTGTCTATCATGTGTTGAGGCAGGCTGTCTTGAAATTCATTCAGTCTCCATCCATCGTCCGTGTCCCAAAGATCATCTACCATTTTTGCTTCTCTGCTTTCCGATATCTCCTCGGTAGCTATATCAATCAACGGTACCTGCGACACCCAAGGATCATGCCAGAAGTTAGTCATCCGCCCATTTTTAACATTAATAGTATATCCCTTTTTAAGGACATCAATAATCGAAGTAAAACTTCGCCAGGCCATGGAGCTTCCCTTTCGTTTCTGCAGAACTGAAAGTCCCTCTTTTGATCGAGCATATTTGTCCCGAAGCACTCTAGCCCATAGCGACTGATCATTAGTGACTAGCTTCCACCCTCCCTTCGCCAGCAAGGCTTGTTTGGCGAGTCTTGTTGGCCGGATCCCTGCACCTCCCATCTTCCTTGACAACGTCATCTGATCCCAAGCAATCGGGTGAAATTTAGACTTCCTATCCTCCTCTCCCCAAACGATCTGTCGATTGAACCTGTCAAGATCATTGCAAACCGAAGTAGGAAGTGCCTCTGTAAACATAGGATAGACAGTCATAGAGGTAGAAATCGATCTCACCAGAGTCAAGCGAGCTGCTAAAGAGAGATGTCTTGTTTTCCAAGCATCAAGCTTTTTCTGTATGCGCAGGCAGAGCTCCTTATACCTAGCCTTGGTAACTCTGCCATTAATCGTATGAATCCCCAAATATTTCCCAAGGTCTGCGGTTAAGGGAATTCCAGCTCTACTGCTCAGTTGTTGGGCTCTGTTGCTAGGTATGTTTGGAGAAACAAACATAGCAGATTTTGACAAATTAACCCGCTGGCCAGAGCTGCTGCAGAATTCATCTAAGCATCTCCGAATAGTTTCTAGCGGCTTGTTTTCTGCTTATGCAAACAAAATGAGGTCATCAGCAAAGAAAAGATGTGAAAGTTTAGGACCATTGGGAGTTAAAGATATAGGTTTCCATTGATTCTCCGAAATAGCTAATTTAATGTGATGGGCTAGTCTTTCCATGCAAAGAACAAAAAGGTAAGGTGATAGGGGATCCCCCTGACGAACGCCCCCTAGAAGGTGTAATCGGATTCGTGAGCTTCCCGTTCCAATTGATCTTCATCTGGTTATTCTCCACACAGAACATGATTCGACTTGGGTCCAGGTAATATCATATGGTGTTTAATACATTGAGTATATGTAAGTACATACGTCTCATATATGACATAATATTAGGTAATATCATGTATCACTTATGACATATAAGTATTAGGGTATTTATATTATAAATTATCGTAGAGTTGAGTTCGAGCCGAACTTTCGATCTTAATGATGTGTCAAGATTTAATAAATGAGTTGGCTCGTGTTCGACTCGACTCGACTCGTTTATAACAAGCCGAACATGAACAAGACAAAACTCGACTCGACTCGGCTCATTTATAGCCTACTGATTATTCTCCTACAACGTAAAAAAAAGTACTAGTGGGAGAATTCCACCAAAGTCAACCCACAATTAAGAAAATTAATGGAACCCCATTTTAATGATTGAGATAATGGCTTATTAATCTTTTGTATAATTGAAGAGAGAGTGTGCGATCCTTTTTTGTTGGCGGATGATACGTCTATCTAACTACACATCAATTGATAGTAGTAATTTCTTGTCCAATATGAATTATGTAACCAACTGTTTGGTAGATATAAAATTAGACAGAAAACTGCTCTACATCATACTAGTTACTATTTTAATTTTGGCTTTGTTGTAATTAAGATAAAGTGAAAGTATTTAAAAAATAATCACAGTTTGTTTCTTAAACCCTAATAGTAGAGCGATATTAGTATCTGTATAATTAGCAGAATGGTTTAAAATTTCAATAAAATGGTACAATATCCAATCAATACGATACTGATATCTAATACACCATCTTAATAAATTGGTTTCAATAATAATATTATAAAATAACATATCTCAAAAACTCGATTTGTTGGAAGAAATTTATATATAAATTTTGTGTAATTTTTTTAATGTTTTTTCAAACAAAAGCTAACTCATGAGCTCGAGTTGTCTAAAAAACTCGTATATAAATCTTACACAACTTTCTTACATAACAAACTCATTCATTACATTGTGAATTATGGGTTTGATCAAGTCAGACACAATTTTTTTCCTCATAAACGGTATCGATCTTAATTTTTTTTTTTTTTTGACAAAGGGGGATTTTATTGCACTTCAAACTGATCAGTTACAAAGAGGGAGAACGAACCAACAATCTGGTTCCAACAAGAGGAAGCCCAAAGGCATCCGGTTACAAACAAAACTGTGAAAGACAAAATGCAGCAACAGAGAACAAAACACAGTCTGCAAGCAACCATCCGAAAAGAGCAAAAACAGATCATCAAGAATCTCTCTTGCAAACAACCAATCAAAGTGCAACAAAACCAAATCAGCTTGTCCGATCATATCGAAATCCATGGTAGTTGAACATCATCACTCCATGTGCCGCCTCCTGGGGAAAACTCAAAGGCATCCATCACAGTGAATCTAGAAACTAGACTATATGGCGGTGGAAGAGGATATAACCAGATTGCTCCAAGCTGAAGAGGCAGAGGAGTCTGAGGCAGAGAGATCAGGTTCGAAGAAGAGCATAAGCTCCCAAGGTAGCTACAACCCTCCACGAAAACACCGAATCCCAACCGCAACCACCGGAGAAGACCCAACCCACCACCATCCGAAAGCTCACCAAGCCACTCAGACACCTAGGGAGGTCGGAGAGGGAAAGAAGGGAATGGCTTCACCTTGAAGATGAGGCCACCAATGGGGGACAATCCCACCATCCAGATCTGGAAGAGGCTCCCAAGTTGTAGACTCCAGCTTCTACGACGAGCAAGCCTAAGAACATAGAACCAAGATCTGAAAGAAGAGCCATAGCTCGACTGGAAAGGAGAAAACTGAAAGTCAGGACGGCTGGAAATCCGATTGAAAACTGCCCAGGACACAGGCAAGAGCACCAAAGCATGAAAAGGAAACAAAACCAGGAAAATAAAAAGTTTTGGGCTACCGCCGGTCACCTAAAAGGAGCCGGCGACAGCCCACGGATTTAGAAACGAAAGGCGGGAAGAAGAGAGAAGACAGAGCTTCTTTCAAAAAGGGAAAGGTAGAGATAGAAGGCTTTTTTCCGGTATCGATCTTAATTGGTAATAGGTAATTTCGTATTCGAACGGAGAAAAATAATTAATCTTCTTGCTCAATAAATACATATTCCTCTACTGGATATGATCAAATTATTGAACTCTAATGTTCATCTTTTCAACAAAGAATTTTAGCCTTTTCCTACCCTTTTTTCCACCTCAATACAAAAATCCCTAAAAACCAAAATAGAGTAGCAATGCAAAACCCGAAACAAATATAAAAACAAAAAAGAAAAGACGGGCGACAGCCTGAAAATAAGGGAGGGAATTCGGATGCTAACGTCCGCCGATCCCTTGGCTGCCTCTACGGCTCTACCTGCCACGACGGCGCATGTTAGCCGAACCTCCACCTGAGTCGAGTAGGGTCGGGTTTAATGGGTACGGGTCTTTTCTGATTCTCATTTGCGCGAGATTAGCTTTTTCTTTCTCTAGTTTCTTAATCCCAATCATTTTCTGCTTTCTTCACTTTCTTGAATAAGCTCTTTTACCTACTTAAGATCCACTAGCTGGTCTATTTCCCTCTTCCTTCCCTCCACCCTTCTCTAGTTCCTTCATTTCTTTTTCTTTTTTTGTTTCTGGGCTTCAAGTTTGCAGGCTAAAAATTTATAATGAGAGAAAAAATGGGCAGCGGTTGGTTGCTTGGATTATTTCAAGTCCAGATCTGAACCTGAAACCAAAAGTGTCTCTTCACTTTCTTGGCATCTTCTCCTCCTCCTTAAAACCCATTTCCTCTCTCTCTCTCTCTCTCTCTCTCTTCTCTTCCTTACATTACCACATTCGTTCAGTTGGCCGGCCTGAATCAAACCTCCACCCTTCTTCTTCTTCTTCTTGTTCCTCTGCATTTCTTACAATTAGAACAGAGGAAGCTCTGTTATCTGTGTTGAGGGGGGTGAAATGATGGCAATTGGAAGTCCCACGTTCACCAGTGTGCGTACAAGCACCACATGTAACGCTTTACTCAGAGAGCTTCAGGTTCTGCTCTTTCTCACTCTCTTCCTTTCCTTGCTGTCTTGCTTTCTCAGCAAGAACCGTCGGTTGGGTTCTGTTCCAAGTTTGTAACTTTGCTTCTACTTTTTGGTGGATTCGTTCTTTCTTTTGCTTTTTTTTTTCTGGGGAAATTTCACTTTTTACTCCCGTAATGATAACACAAACTTGTTGCTTCAGCAAAGTTTTTTACTTTCCTTCTGGGTGATGGTTTGGTTGTGTTCCATTTCCCTTCCTTCCTATGCTCTTTTTGGACAGAGGATTGACGGCTGCTGCTCTTTTTCCTTTTGTAAATTGTTAAATGAACTTGGATATCTAATAATGACAGCAATGATAGGTCAACTGGAAGTATGGCTTCTGCTGCTTTCCTCCCTGTTGTTAGTAAATTGTACATACACTCTACAGTGAAAACCTTTTTCCCTTTGTTTTCTAATGGACATTAATTGCTACTTCTGGTTCTCTGAAATTCCATTCTGATTTGTTGCTGGAAACAGACATGAATTTTTCCTCTTGGTTTGGGGTTTCTGGAAATTTTATTGCTCTTTGGAATCCCTAATCGTATAGGTTTGGTTGTCTGTTATTTGGGGAGGGGTTATGGTTTGGTTGTCTGTTATTTGAGCTGATACAGTAGTAATTAGTAACTTCTGGGGAAGGGAATTGTTAGTTGTAAGTGTGTGGTTTATTATTTTGATTGATACCCTTTGTTGTTCTAATTGCAGAATTCCAAGTCTTTCTGGCTTTGTATCTTAACTGAAAGCTAGTCAAAAGTAGTTCCTGCTGCATTTATGGGTTCCAACTGTTTGTTGTTGATCATTGAATGAATGAGATGATTCCAAATTTGCTAACTTTCTGCTTTGTCATGTGAGCAGCAAATATGGAATGAAATCGGGGAAAGTGAGACTGAAAGAGATCGCATGCTGATAGACTTGGAAAGAGAGTGCTTAGAAGTCTATCGGAGGAAGGTCGAGGATGCTGCGAATTCCAAAGCACGACTTCATCACTCCGTGGCAGCAAAGGAAGCAGAGCTTGCAACTCTCATGGCTGCCCTTGGGGAGCTTAACATTCGTCCAATGGTACATGATCCACTTAGAACTAAGTCCAATGTGATCATATGAAAAAAATTGTTCATGAAGAAAAACCACAATTGACGAGAAAACAAGGGAAATATTTTATTTTCTTTTGCAAACGTTAAGCCAATTTATTCAAATATCTAATTTGCCATTACCTGTGACTTAGGTTCAGAAAGACAAGAAGGCTATGTCGTTAAAGGAGAAACTTGCATCAGTTACACCATTGGTGGAAGATTTGAGGAAGAAGAAAGAAGAGCGGATGAAGCAATTTGACGATATAAGAGCGCAGATTGAAAAGATCGGTGGGGAGATATCTGGTTACTCCAACCTCAATGAATCTCTTATGAGTAATAAATCTCTTGATGAGCATGACTTGTCACTAAGAAGGCTAAACGAATATCAGATACATCTTCGCTCCCTTCAAAAGGAGAAGGTTTGTTAATCTTATAGCTACTTAAGATAAGTTCTCATCATTTCAAGAGCTTTGGCCTAGGGACTGGAGCTCCAAGAAATCTCAGCATTTTCTTAATTTTGGAGCACATGACAGATAGCATTTTCCTTTGTTATGTGATCTATGTCTATCCATGAAGCCTTTCATACAAGTTCATGCTTATTGCTGATCTAAGATGGTTCGCCCCTACTGATTCTGAACTCTATTCGCTTTGGCTTGTAGTCGGACCGCCTCAATAAGGTCTTTGAGTGCGTGAATGAGGTACATTCTCTGTGCAGCGTGCTCGGTTTAGATTTTGACAGGACTGTAAGTGAGGTCCATCCAAGTTTACATGGAGTCAACCACGAACAGTCAACTAATATAAGCAATACCACGCTCGAGGGTCTAGAACAGACCATTCTTAAATTGAAATCTGAAAGGAAAGCTCGGATAAGGAAGGTATTGACATGCTGTTATTCTTCTCCATGTTGTTTCCTTGTTAAGTACCGTTTGTATAAAAAAAAACTCCTGTTGGAAACTGCAGCTGAAAGATATTGGAGCTTCTCTATGTGAACTTTGGAATTTGATGGACTCATCAAAGTCAGACAAAAATGAATTTTCAAGAATTACTTCAATTCTTGTATCATCGGAGTCTGAAATAGTAGAACCAGGGTTCCTTTCAATGGAGACAATTAACAAGGTTAGGATACTCCTTTGGGTTATGGTTTTTTCCTGGATGCTCTGTTCTGATTGACAAATTTGACAGGCATCTAAAGAAGTGGAAAGGCTTACTAAACTGAAAGCCAGCAGAATGAAAGAGCTTGTTATGAAGAAAAGAGTAGAATTGGAAGAAATATGCAAAATGGCTCATATTGAACCTGACACAAGTACTTCAGCTGAGAAATCCACTGCACTGATAGATTCTGGTATGAATATCCTTGGAATATACTATATTGTACACTCATTTGAAATTTGTTTTCCTTTGTGTTTTTCACCCTTTGTCTCTATTTTCACTGTGAGGGTGAATAGTTGTAAGTAAGCATGGTTGTTGAGGAAAATCAATTTTTTAATCCTATAGTTACTGCTCAGGTTTAGTCGATCCTGGTGAACTCTTGGCAAGCATTGATGCCCAGATAACCAAAGCTAAGGAGCAAAGTATGAGCAGGAAAGAAATAATGGATAGACTAGACAGATGGCTTTTGGCATGTGAAGAGGAAAACTGGCTTGAAGATTATGAGCTGGTAAGCAAAATCCATAATCCCATATACCAATTGAAGTACCATGTAAAAATAAACATATATTAAAACAAAATGCTCAACTATATATTCACTAGTGGCGATATAGCATTTCTGTTGATTTTTGTGACAAGTATTAGTCATCTGTTGATGTCATGGTGAGCATAATCTCGTCTGTTCTTGTATTGGTCCTTGCAATTTCATCTTTAACTTCTCTAGTTCTTTTTGATTATCAGGATCACAACAGATATTCAGCTGGCAGAGGTGCTCACATTAACCTAAAGCGTGCAGAGAAAGCTCGAATCACTGTGAACAAAATTCCAGGTATCATAATTCTGAATAACTGACATTTTTTTTAGTGGTCCAACAATGGCACAAAGCTGATAATATGCACATTTCTCCAGTGATGGTTGATAACCTGATTAATAAAACCTTGGGCTGGGAAGATGAAAGGCAAATGCTGTTCCTTTACGATGGGGTGAGTCGTCGATCTGTTGCTATGTTTTATTTGATGTTATGGTGCCTAAGTGATTGCTCCTTGACTAATGGAACATTTATCTTGATGATACATTCTCTACAGGTAAGATTGGTGTCGATACTAGAGGACTACAAAATGACGAGACAGCATAGAGAAGAGGAGAAACGGAGATTCCGGGTAATAGTTTCAGTTGATTTTATGGACTTTTGCTCCTACTATCCTACAGATTAAACTGAAGCTATAGTATTGTCCATTTTGACTGGTATCTTAAACAATTTCTAAAATGAAGGACCAACCTACTACCCCAGCACTAGATTTACTCGTGATAAAGAAGATAATGTTGCTAAGGTTCGTTTGGAAGGTCGATTGTTGAAATGGGTAGATTGTGAATAATACAGTAGCTTTTGAAATAGATCAAGTTTGGGTTACTGTTCTTACAATTAGATTATAGGTGATTGATTGCATCAGTAATGTTGAAAATACCAAATAATTCACTGTTAGCTATTTTGCACCAATAGACACTGACAGAAAGGGGAAAAGGATAATGGATTTTCCAAGCCAGTAAGCCACCTCTCCGGCCAGTCGTTCTACAATACCCCTCTGGATATATTGTCAAATATATCATTGCAACTAGACACCCTAACTTTTTGTTGGCCAACAGCGATTGACGATTGTTATGCACAACTTTTTTGACTCATTGTGTGCGCAATCTCCCCCTCCCCCACAACCCATATTACCCCTTAGGTTTAAGTTTAACTAATATCCGATGGCTGATGTTTCAAATGTGTGACAAATTGGTTTTCACATTTTGAAGGACCAAAAGAAGCTCCAAGATTTGTTGCTGACAGAGAAGGAACTGATGTACGGGTCTAAACCAAGCCCACGAAAGACAAACAGCTTCAGGAAGCCAAATGGTTACCGCGGGAATGGGTCGATGACTCCA